GTATACTATACATTAAGCCGTATACCATCCAATAATCTGTATACTATATGTAGCGGAACACCAATATTAAATCCACGAATTCTGCTGGTTCAGGAAGTAATCCACAGTCAAGCGCTGGAAAAAGCAAGGCAATATCCCAAATCTCCCAGTAACCGGATGAAACACAGTTCTGAGAGTCAACTGAGGTCTTTATTTTCAGCTCCACAATTTATACAAGTTCCCATGCAAGGGGTTTCCTGAGTCCCCTCCCACGAGCATTCCCAGAGTGGACTACATGGGGGACTTATTGTACAAGACATTTCTCCTATCAGGCACTGCTGCACGAGAGGGATCCTCCCACAGGAATGTACCGTTAAGTGGATTATCCCTCTGTGCAGCAGAACCGACAATTTATATTAAAATGCATAACTCTTTGAATATACGCTCTATTTGCACGAATGGACGTTCGGTAGATAGCTGCGGTCTGAGCGCATCATTCGTGAGATTACCGCTCAGATCCCAGCTAAAACAACCGAACGCTGCACGAAAAACACATTTATTAAAATACATGTTTAATGACCGATTGCCTTCCAGGGAACAAAGTACCGAATGGCCCGGAACTCCCGAACGGCCTGGAAGCTCTGCGGTGTTCATGCCGTCGAGTAGCCGTTTTTAGTACCATGCGCTCGACGACCAAACACCGCTGAGGGAACAAAGGATCCAAGATGGCCGACCGCCGCATGGTCGGTAGTCGAACGGCGGCCACCTCGGAGAGCCTCTAATTACAGATTGCAACATTGTTGCAATCGGTTAACAAGTGCCACACGCCTCTAAGTGTGTGGGCTACTACATGGGGGTATTTTCGGTTCATGAACAGCCCGCAAAAGTGCCGTTCGTGAAACGAAAGAAAATACAATACATACAGCTATCTGCATTCGGCAGATAGCCAATACAGCAAATACACATTAATTACAACCCGCATACATTCTACATAGTTAAGCCCATATCCCACCACCATACAGGCAACCCTTAAAGGCACAGTCTCTTTATAGTGTCCAAGTGGCTATGTTTGCCACACTATACATTAAGCCGTATACCATCCAATAATCTGTATACTGTACATTAAGCTGTACACCATACAATAAGCTGTATACCATACAAAAAGCTGTATACTGTACATTAAGCTGTATAATATACATTAAGCCGTATACCATACAATAATCTGTATACTGTACATTAAGCTGTATACCGTACATTAAGCTGTATACCATACAATAAACTGTATACTGTACAATAATCTGTATACTGTACAATAATCTGTATACTGTACATTAAGCTGTATACCGTACATTAAGCTGTACACCATACAATAAGCTGTATACCATACAAAAAGCTGTATACTGTACAATAAGCTGTATACTGTACAATAATCTGTATACTGTACATTAAGCCGTAGTGGTTCTGGTGATTATAATGTTCCTTTAAGAAACATATTTTTGTCACTGGGAGAAAAACTGGCTCCTAACTTTAGCTGGCTCCTAGATCCAAAGCAAATTTGTCAAGCCTTGCAGTACAGAGACTAGGGTAAGAAGCCCAGACCATGAATTATTAATGACAGATATAATACAGAGACGGGGATGTGAAGCCAGAGACTTAATTATTAACAGCCTACCATTCAAAATTCTCAAACTATCTAATCTATCTTTTCCCAGTACGACTTCGCTCTTGAAACATGAGTAGATGGAACTGGTGTATTAACCTGTGTTACATTATGCTAAAAATACTTTAATTGATCGCAATAGACCTGAGCGTCCTGGTAAGATTATTATGACGGCCCTATGCAACCCACGAATGATTGCCGATTTGGATCTGCGCAACCCACAAATTATTGCTGATGTGGATCTGCATGTCCACTAATGATTGCAGATGTAGATCTGCATGTCCACTAATGATTGCAGATGTGGATCTGCATGTCCACTAATGATTGCAGATGTGGATCTGCATGTCCACTAATGATTGCAGATGTGGATCTGCATGTCCACTAATGATTGCTGATTTGGGCATGCGCAACCCACGAATGTCGCATCTGATGCTTTACTTGACAACCAATACAAAATCGTATTCATAAAATTCAATAAAAGCATGTAAAACCCTGTTACTCAGTAGATCTACCCTTGCACCCCATAAAACCTCTGTCACCACTGTACACCCATAGGACCCTTTCACTTCCTATCCACCACCATAAAACGCTTGCATCTATCCCTGCAATCCTACAAGCCTACATTGGCTATATCCAAACAACCACACAAACCCCTAACTGGTTTAAAAATCCCTGCACCCCGTACTCGGAAGTCTACTTTGTCTATCATGCTTTAGATATAACCAGACAAAGGTGTCTCGTTGGCTCTCCAAATGAAAGCTCATATAAAGATGTATACCTGTATTTACCTGTTTAATAGTGAAGTCAATATGATCGTAAACATCATCCTGTCTATAGACAGCATATGTTTCATCGCTGGAATCCACGTATCCTTTTAGAAATAGGTGTTTAAATGCAACCGTATTCTCCTCCTTGAAAGTCACGACCATCTGATTACTGAGACCAAATAAGACCAGCTGATAAAACAAAGCAAAAATAAATTCTCTAATCACAGACATGCATGTACTTCTAACAATGGCCTCTATTTATTTCTATTAGATAAACATTTCAAATGGTTTCTCAAAAAACAAAACAAAACAAAAAAAACTTGAAATGTGACTTTTGTAGATCACAATTATAAGATTTTACTAATATGACGTAAATTCATGATTTTATTAAGTGAAACCAAGAGGGCTGCACTCACCCAAACATATATGATCATATAATGTAACTAAATGCCCATTATTCTATGCCTCGGTCAGGTGTTTTTAAATAAAACTATTACATTCTGTGAGACTTGAAATCATGGCTTAGTGAATAAATGAGTGCGCTGTGTATTTTGTATGATTTTATTAAGGACACGGAGGCAAATATTATGCTTTATGTCTTTATTTATTCCTCAGCAGCAAAGAAAGGATATTAAAAATATCAATAGAAAAAACAAACGCGTACCCTTCAAAGGGTTAACCATATAACATATTTAGCCAATGAGAACAGTCCGTGTGGCGCCCACCCAGGTAAGAACCGGGGTTTCGCCGCCAGAGATGTCTTTTTCTCCCAAGTGATAAATTATGCTGTAGCAACTCTGGTCCCAGTAGCGATTACAAGCAGACTTTCCCAATAGCGATAATCCAAAGCAGGTATGGTAGTGATATAGCAGGTATAGCTTTCCCCCCACAGACATTAGTCGAGACGGAATGCTGGGGGTGAACTGGTTTATTGGAGGCCACACACGGCTGTGGAGGGACTGCCTAAACTGTGAATTGCCTTCCTAGAATGTGTGTTTCCCCTCTTTCATGTTCCTCTTTCTGTAATTTTTACCATAAAATCCTGCAATATACCTTTTGAGCACCCAGGCACTTAATTTAGAACGTTTAATTAAAATGTTCACCACAGACCGCAAGGGAACGAGCGGCGCGTGCTGCCTCTGGGTGGCCGCTGGTTCGTATTACCGAAAGCCCACCAGGGGGAGCATTCGTCTCCCGAACCGGCCTGCATACACTGTCTTCGATCCCGGTGTCAGGGATCATCCTACCTGCTCCCCAACGGAGCTATAAGCACTCATCTCTTCCTTCCTTATCCTACCTTCTCCCCAACAGAGCTATAAACACTCATCCATTCTCATCCTAATATTCACTTCTGTGTCCTTAATAAAATCACGTCTAAGTAAAGGAAAGGTTTTTTTACTGTAAGAACAATAAGGATGTGGAATTATCTGCCTGAAGAAGTGGTTTTATCAGAGTCCATACAGATGTTTAAACAGCTACTAGATGCAATCTTGCAAAAACAGAATATTCAAGGATATAATCTTTCAATGAAGGGTAATAACTGCTTGATCCAAGGATAAATCTGACTGCCATTCTGGGGTCAAGAAGGTTTTTCTTTCCAAGCTTGTTGCAAAATTGGAAGTGCTTCAAACTGTGTTTTTTGCCTTCTTTTGGATCAATAGCAAAAAACAAATGTGAGGAAGGCTGAACTTGATGGACACAAGTCTCTTTTCAGCTTTGTAACTATATAATGACTTTATGTCAGATAATTAGTCAAATCTGGTAATTTTATTAAAAGAGAGGATGCAAATTCCCATCAGGATCCAGTAACAAGCCCACGGACGTAGGGAGCACTCTCGGTATATCTATGGGCATTTCTATGAGTTTTGGGAACCATGGTTGTGCTGTACAGAGTGGTGAGATTAGAATCAAAGATGTCCGAGAATGCTGTAGATGCCATAATGTCCAAGCCAGTAGGGAGAAAGGAGGAAACGCATAAAGCCTTGTGTTTGGCCATGGCTGGCGGAAAACATCCGATGCTAGGGCATCGAGATCTGGTCTACAACTGAAGAACACTGGGAGCTGGGAATTCAATAGTGATGCAAATAGATCGATGTGCAGTAGACTCCGGAGATTTTTCCCTTGCAGCATAATCTAGTGGAGTCCTGAGAATATTGCCTGGATTAATGTCCTGGCAAGTTGTCTCAAGGTCAAAACTGGACAGGCCACTGGGTAGCGTATTTTTTTCTTGATAAGTTTGATCACAGAACCCCTCCACGCACACAGAACCTCTCCACGCACACAGAACCCCTCCACGCACACAGAACCCTTACACGCACACACAGAACACCTCCACGCACACACAGAATCCCTTCACGCACACAAAGAACCTCTCCACGCTCACAGAACCCATCCACGCACACAGAACCCCTCCACGCTCACAGAACCCCTTCACACACACAGAACCCCTCCACACACACACAGAACCCCTCCACGCACACACAGAACCCCTCCACACACAAACGGCACTCTTTCCATACACACACACATACACACTAAACCGCTACACACACTGCACCCCCTCCAAATACACACCGCAAACCCCAACACACACTGAACCCCTACACACACTGCAATCCCCACACACTGAACACACACACTGCACCCCTCACTGTAGTCTGTGTGTGTGTGTGTATTCACCAGTCTGTGCACGTTGACCAGTCTGTGCGCGTGTAATCACCAATCTGTGTGTATATTCCGCAGTCTCTATATGTGTGTATTCAGCAGCCAGTGTATATATTCAGCAGTCTGTGTGTGTTTTTTGCGGTTTGTGTGTATTTAGCAGTCTGTCTCTGTGTGTAAGTATTGTATTTGTTGGAGGTACTAATAAATATAAGCCTAATTTTATTGATAATTTATATTTTTATTTCTTTGAGTGGTTGCATAGTCAGGGCCCCAGTGCATTGGTTTGCCCAGTGGACTATTATGCTGTTACGATGGCCATGGTCTAGGGTATGTGTGTGCTCTGATGATCATGCTCCTACAAAATGTAAATGAAAAGACACTCATTTGAGTACCAGGAAGGGGATGAACAGTAACAGCCACTTCTGGCCAAGAAGAGATTAAAAATGTATGTATTTCTCTGTTTTGTTTTGGGGTTTTTTTAGCGATTTTTGTATCACTAATGGGTGTCCAATTTTTATATTTTCAAAATCTGGTCACCCTAGACACATGGAAGGTTGAGAGGGGGTATAGGGGCACATGGAGGACTGGGAGAGAGGGCTAATATGACATATGTGGGGGCTACTGGATTATATGCAAATGCACGTCTGCGTCTGCTTACAATAAATCTGCTCTGCTTTATTTTGAAGCCCTATAAGTGCTTTCTTTCATGTTTGAGTGCTAGTTTTCAGTTTTTTTCCCGCTTCCATATCTGCGCACTATGCTGGCGCGATGCATTACGGGTCTGGTATGGAATTTTTTTCCAGGGCTGCTTTTCATTCCCAGTCCGGCCCTGCACATTAGTACCACACATAGGGTTTTGGAACACAACCAATAAACACATACAATACACTCAGACACTCCCACACAAATTCCTCCCCTCTGCATGTGATTCAATTACCTTACACAATGGGTAATGTAATTTAGCACAAGCAGAGAAATACTATTTTTTCACATTATTCATAACTTGAAAAGTATGTATCACATTGCTCAGACTCAGCATACTCCAAATACAAACATACGTCAAAATCATACAAATTGGTCCAGTGGTTCAAAAGATAAATCGTAGTCCTTTGTGACCACAGGAAGCATGGCTTTTCTGCCCAAAACCAGTTCCACAGAGTCTTCTATCCTGGAGATAATTAGAAGTAATCCAATTATCTCCAAAGAAAGAGGCAAAACTCCATTGAACATATGGCAGCAAAAATACAGTAAAATACAATAAAATACACAAGGTTACATTTATGACATAAAATACAGACATGCAACATATCCCCAGATAGCTTAGGTTTGAGCACACATTATTACTGAATGGCGCACAGACCACACACATACAGTTCAATTGCCATGGAGCCAAAGTCTTTCCCATAGTCTTTCATTATACGAATGGGCTCCATGGCATAGCTATCTGGGATATCACTGCTCAAACAGGGCAAGCACCAAATGACCCGGCTTTCTTGTCTTTGCAGGGGAAAATCAAGCCTTTTAACATGGGGCCATAATCCAAAGGCAACAGGAGAGCAACCAGGCTTCTCCAATGCAATGTGGCGAGATTGCTCTCGTCACACGTACTATATACGGTCTAATGACAAAACCCAAGAACTTTATGCTTTGGGATGGGTTTCCACCAACTTTTCCCAACTGATCAGGAATCCAAAGTTTTGGAGGGACAACACCCAAGAGAGATGTCGCCGAAGCATGTGGGCATCATGCGCCATGATTAGCATGTCATCCAGGTAGATGATCAAACAAATGCCTCTGCTGCATAGGAGGGAGACCACCGGTTTCAGCAGTTTTGTGAAGCACCATGGAGCTGAAGAAAGCCCAAAAGGGAGGTACCTGAAGAGCCACATAGTCTTTTCCCACTAAAATTGAAGGACGTGTTGGCACTCTTCAGCAATAGGAATCGTGAGGTAAGCATCTTGAAGGTCGAGTTTGACCATCCAATCACCCAACTTGAGTAGATCCTGGAGAGAGCTTTGCCTGGCGGGTGGCATTTTAACATGGGGGCACCGTATCATCATTATTAAAAGGACGTAACCTGTCCGTACGTGTGGTTTTGGAGGTGTGCTTGTCCATATGGTGGGTCTATTTTGTGGTTGCTAGGTGCCACCGGCTTATCCTCAGAGGGTTTATGGAATGTCATGCCAAGAGCCTGCTTAGAGGAAAGGATGGCATGTGTAATGGAGTGGGACAAGTTGTCCGACATAACTCCCATTGTGTTGTAAATGGCTTGCCTAACCGATTTGGCCATGGTAGCGTCCATGAGCGAGTAAATCCTCTCCAGATTGGACAGAGGGTCTAGCAAGCATGTCAAACTCGCGGCCCACGGGTCACATGCGGCCTACAATTAATATCTTTGCGGCCCAGCGAGCCGCGAGTTTCACATGCTTACTGTTAAGGCAGAGTAGGCACCTGCTCTCACCACATTGCAGATGCCCACTCTGCTAAAATTTACCCGGCTGGGGGGAGAGGAAGCAGGAAGCTGGCGGCAGCGAGGGAGAACAGTCTGTTCTTCCTGCTCCTCACTGCTCTTGCGTGCCCTCTGTAGTGATGCCAGGTGCTGGAATATAACTTAATTCTGGCCCGGCATCACTACACTGCGCTCATGAGGGAGCAGTGAGGAGCAGGAGGGAGATCTCCAGAGCAAAGATCCCCACTGGACACAAGGAATAGGACCCACACCAGCTCCCAAAGGTAGGGAGCAATAAATAAATTGATTTGTAAATGTGTGCATGTAAATGTGTGTGTCTGTCTGTGTGTTTGTGTCTGTCTGTCAGTGGGTGTGTGTCAGTGTGTGTGTGTCTGTTAGTGTGTGTGTGTCTATCAGTGAGTGTGTGTGTCTGTCTGAGTGTGTCTGTCAGTGCTGCGATGGCTGGACAGTGGAGGACCTGGAGATGCACGGAGGCACGCAGCACCACGTCACATTCCGACATGGCGTCAACGTACTCCATCTTCACGGGGTGCAGACAGCGCCATTGGGGGTATACCAGCGGTTGGACTCCGGAGTCGCATACTGGCAGCGGCAATGTGAGTGGAGTCTGCTTGTTGGCTAATGTTTGGTTTTTTTTTTAAACAGGGACTGGGATTTAGTAGAGGGGGTGCTGGGATTTAGTAGAGGGGGAGGACTGGGATTTAGTATAGTGGGGGGGACTGGGGTTTAGTATAGAGGGGGGGGACTGGGGTTTAGTAGAGGGGGTGATGGAGATCAGAAGAGGGGGATGCTTTTTTTTTATACTGTTCTTTTCAAAATAAACCTAAGTTTCTATGAAAATTTTAGTTTTAATTTTTTTTCGCGGCCCACATAAACTTAAACTTTGTTTATTTAGCCCATGGTAGCCTTTTGTATTAGTAGGAGAATTAATCTCCAAATCCCCAGGGGCCTGCATGATGATATTAGCACAAGACAGGATATAGATACCCAACACTGGGAATAGGTGTGCAAATACCCTGGTCACAATACAATTGTAGCGCATGAGACAGCTGGTTGCAGAGAGCACGGGAAGTGTCACAGGCACAATATAAGATGTGACAGAAGAATAAACAGCAATACTTTACTATCCTACCAAATACTAGGAACAAGGCACAATAAAATAATGGGCTAGCTTACTGAGTGTTCCCCCAGGAATGGCTCCATTCCTGGGGGAACACTCAGTAAGCTAGCCCACAACAAAGGCAGCCAATCACCTCATGCACACACACCTACAAACAAGCGTTGCAAGCCAAAAAAAGAAGGCACACACCCAAGATGGTCAATGGGATGCACAGCCATGAAACTGGCAAGCTGTCATGGGGGTGTGGGGGGGGCACTGAAAATGGAAGAATGCAGTAAGAGAGGGCCATGACACAAAAAAATATAAAAAGCAGACAGATATAATAATTTAGTAAAAAACAAAGAAAGTAAATACACTTAAGTAAACTAAATAATAAAAACTTAAAAACTAAAAATTTTCCCAGGTGTACCTCACAAAACACCAAATAAATAGAAATGCAAACAGAAAGTGGTAAAAAACACCTAGTATACAAATACACATTTAAGAAACCACCTGGAAAATGCAGACCAGGGTAAATAGCTCCAGTGGAGATCTATAATAATAATAAAAAACACAACATAGCGTAATATAGTAATAACAAAATGAGAATATGTGGAGTTGGTAGAAAACTCACAAACATGTGATGGTTCAGGCTTTTCACCCCACCAAGGGTTAAACCGAACCAATGAAGGTCTCAGATGTTGTACATCCTTATTTATTTATTTATTTATTATTGCAATTTATAAAGCGCACACAGATTCCGCGGCGCTGTACAATTAGTTGAGAAACGTACAATATACACAAACAAATACAAGAGGTAAGAGAGCCCTGCCCGTAAGCTGATATCTAGCCATTGGAGCTCTTTTATACAAAGTGCTTAGCTATATGGCCCTTGAGCTTACAATCTAAAGGCTACCAGGGGGATTTGAGACAAAAGGTAGCAGGGGAAGTTTGGAGGTGATGGCTGAAAGAGTTAACAGAGAAGCAGCTATTGGTAAGATGTTAGGGGAATGAACAGGTAATTGGGTGAGAATCTCGAACAGCTGGAGGAGCATGATATATATTTAAGGGGAGCCTGGGTGGGTGAGAAGTGGGGAGAAAAAATGCAGTCTTCACAGAGTTGATTGTGAAGTGAGGCCTGAGAGTGATGGGTGTTTCTGCAGGATGGTAAATGCAGAAAGGAAAAAGCCGCATATGGTGAAGTATAATTTGAACATAGAAAAAGTTATTAGAATGCACTTACAGACTGAAGTAAAATCAAGAGCATATCTCCACTCAACGTGGAATATAGCAGCAGCAACGCCAGCAGCAGCAGCAAACAGTAATACAAATTAATAAAATAACAATAAAAGACAACGAAGTCCAACGTTTCGTCCAAACAGGGACTTCCTCAGGGATCTGTAATCCTTCCTTCTGACAGCTGATTAATCCGTTGCACCTGACGGCGTGCTTTCCACCATGGAACGCAAAAGGCATGTCTTGTCTGTATCCGGAAGCAGGACGGGTGTCGAAGTGGATCAAACTATGTATAACATTCAGCTGAAGAGTGTGTACTGCGCGTGCGCATGTTCCAAAATAGGACACATGCACTCGCACAGAAGCAGACCACATAT